GGCGTATGAAAAGGTGAAAATGTTATTATACCACGGATACCTATAATTCCCACAGATCTTCCTTTTCAATTCAAAAGGTTGCAGTTCCCTATTGAGCTCAGTTTTGCAATGACAATTAATAAAGCGCAAGGGCAAACGTTACAGGTAGCGGGGGTCAACTTAGAAAAACCGTGCTTCTCTCATGGTCAGCTGTATGTAGCATGTTCGCGTGTGTCAAATGCCCAGAATCTCCACATTCTTTCCCCTGAATGGAAAAACATATAACATTGTGTACAGTAGCGTCTTAAAACAGTGTTCAGTTATTTTTTTTTTCAAAAATTCCCATAATCAATTAATCAGAATTCCCACAGATCTTCCTTTTCAATTCAAAATTTCCTATTTAGCTCAGTTTCTTTTCAATTCCAAATGCTGCACCTCTGACGGACCTATTAAGCTCAGTTTTCTTTCAACTCAAAAGGCTGCATCTCTGACGTATCTTTTCTTTGGCTCAGTTTCCTTTCAATTCAGAAAACTGCATCTCTGACGAATCTATTTAGCTCAGTTTCTTCTCAAAAGTCTGCATCTCTGACGGATAATTATGCTCAGTTTCCTTTAATTAAAAATATTCCATTTCCATTTGGAATGAACAGGCTATTTTCATGCTTTCCTATATGCTGCGTTTCAAAACATTTAAATAGGCTGACGAATCAATTTTGCTCAGTTTCCTTTTAATGGCAGCCTCTGACAAATCTATAAAACTCAGTTTTCTTTCAATTAAAAAAGCAATGGATAGTTCATTTCCCAGTGACCATGCGGGCGAAGCCGCGGGTAACAGCTAGTCGAAGATAAATGTGTATGTCTGCGGGCCACAGCATCCACTTACCATCACGTGGACTGTGTGCTCGTTTTCCCCATTCACGTCACCCCGATTATATAAAAATACTCCCTGTACATATACGTACGTGTACTTTCTACGATTTATAATATTAAAAATCTGTTTCTGTTCTACTCGGGCTCTACATACAGTCTTACACTACATAAGCCAAGGTCTGTATAATATATAAGTTTCATGTACGCAAATTTACTTATTATAATGTAGACGCTACAATACTAATAATGCTGTACTCTTTTGGTTTAGATTTAATGACAAGTTATAAATAATTTCACTGTCTGCAGCTATTCATCTACCTGATTTAGAAAATAATATGTGTGACAAACGAACACTCAGTCCACTTGATGGTAAGTGACCAGTGACCCATAGACATCTATATCAATCATCTAAAAAAGGTCTCCGGGTCTCAAAATCATCATAAGAAACACACCAGCATTGAGTTGCTATTTACCCAGATATTCTGTGAAAGCGTGGATCTTCCCCGGTCGAACCGAATGGTTCGTGTTACATTTATAATTTATGTAGTTATACATAAGTGCTGCATTATTGCCAGTTGAAACAAGATTAGCCTCAGTAAAAATGTGTTTCTTTAATGGGAAACAACAATGTCGTTTTCACTTTTTAAATTACTCGTAAATAATTTCAGTTAGAGAAAAATGACAGATGAATTTTCGTGTAGTGATGGCGACAGAGAATCATCACTTCATTACATCCCATGAGTGTCGTAAAGTGATCATGGTCAATGTAAGAAAAAGATTATGGCTCCCAATTAGTAGCCTATAACCTAATATATAATCATTAATGCGTTTTCAAAACATGATTAAAGTAAACCCTTTTTAAGACAGTAGATGCTCATGACCATTTGTAGACTTTTAAATACTGATAAGAAAGTCAAAGAAGATTGACAATGATAAGAGATTCTTATTATCGTCTATATAATTGTGGTGTCTTTACTTCTATCGACTATTATAGTTTTGTAGCGACATAAGTCTAATGGTAGGGCATGGACGACAAACTCAGGGAGTCGTTGATTCGAATCCGCCATTCGGCTACTGTAGCGATGTACTGAATACAGTGGTGAGTAGATACAGAGTAGAGTGGTTTCTACTCAAGCATTTATATGCTTACCTAGAGAGGTTAACGAGAATATTAGTGATGTTGATAGCCTTAATAGTATTCTTTATTTTTATTTAAAAAAAGTTTTGGTATTGTTTCCTACGCTACATATAAGTCTGTTTGTCACTGAACTCCTCCAAAATGAACTACAATTCTTCCAAAACAATTTTGGATTCTGGCGACTATCCTCTATAATGAGCTATAGCTAGTCTAGCATCCTGAAGATATCAAAAATGAAATATTTATTTTTTTATCCCAAGCTGCGCTACCGCAATGTGCAGTGGCGATGTAAGAATATTCACTATCACATATTGTTCATGGGCGTTACAAGAAGCGACAGAGGAACGAAGATGGAAATGAAGAACAGAAGATGAACGGCAGCGCCATCATAATTACAAAAAAAAAAAACAAAAATAATAAAAGGAACTGCTGTCGTCAATCCGCAAAATCCGAAAAAGGTTTTTAAGAGGGCGCAAAAGAGCATGCGGTTCACGTGTATGTTAAGTGACTACGGTCACCCATGTGCAACTGTGACACCAGGGGATATATAGGTGCGTTCCCTTTTATTAAAAAAGAGGAGGCTTTAGTCGCAACGTGTGCGGAGCCGATGAAAAATCCAATTTAGCAGTGGAATTTTAATAGACTGTAATGGTCTCTTTCGAAAGTCATGGATCAAAATGCGATAATGGATTCTCTTACGCCACTATCACATATCGGATTGTTAAAATCAAATTTTCATTAAACACTATACTTACCTCTTCTCTGTTCTGCCGCAAGAGGTAAACGGGGCTTTCAGTTACCGTCATCAAAAGCGCCACTCCCAGTACAATGCAGGTCAGGTTCATTCACACGATGTATCGGTAGGCCAGATACCAACCCAGTATATAGGACATTTGAACGCCAATACAATTCAATGCAATTGGAACTGGGAAAGAGAAGGGTATTTAAAGCTACCTTCTTTTATCTTCTTTATAAGTCAAAGTCGAAGTCAAATATTTTTATTCAAAATTGGCTTTTACAAAGCAATCTTTGTATGTCAAACGTTACAACATCGCTTCTGCAAGTCGCTGCTGCAGACACAAAAATCGTCTATTTTTATCCCAACATTTACAAATGATCTTTTTAAATTTAAATTTATTTCTGTAATTAAAGATACACGCATATTATACCCCACTATTTTCAATTTTTAAAATATAAAAATTCGTTAAGTTATAAGAAAAAGTAAAAAAAAAAAACTCGAAAGAGTCCACTGACTAAATTTTCAGACCTGGTACACGACTGGTAAATGCAATACCCGACGTCTCGCACTATTTATTAAATCCATAGATTTTAGTCATTCGTTCATTTCATTTACTCCATTCATTTCATTCATTCTTTGTCGTTTTCCCTGTCGAGGTTCTGGGTATTAACATGTGAAATAAACGTGATGTTTATTTTACAACCAACTGGAAGCTGTGAGGTCTGTCTGGGATTTCCCATAGTCGCTTATAACATTAACGAAGGATGATCAAAAAATTACCATAATTAACTGAATCAAACTAAAAAAAAAACTTGATTTTTCGGCTCTTGTGGCTCCGGAGAGCAGAAAATTATTCCTAGATGTCTTTCAGGCAGCTAGCCGTGAATCAGACAGAGTTGTAAAAGCTAAAAGACAAACAGCATTAATATCAATGAAAGTAGTAATTTCTCTAACCATTACTTACAACAATTACAGCCTTTATAAGTCCAATGTTGAACTTAGGACTCTCTTATAGTTACCATGTTTGGCAGGCGATTTATGAACCACAGTTTTTATAATTTTGATTTGTGATCAGGAAGATAATGCTGCCAGTTTCCTCTTTTAGTTTTACTGTGTCACCTCTTAAGACACCCACGGGACGATATAGGGTAGCTGATATTCTACACCGCCACTGTAAGCTTATGTCTCGATTGCACGACTATAATTTATTATATGATATTACAGAAATACAATGTGTTCATACCAGATGCCAGTGTTCCTCTTATAGATTTCCCAGCGATCTCCGAAATATACATGGGCCCGTAGACGAAGACAGGGCCACAACCTAATCCTCCAATGAACCTTCCTATTAGGATCATCGTCGATGTAGAAGAGAAATCGACCAATGCCCATGAAACCTGGGGATAATCAAAGCTATTTCCTATCCTTGGTGTGAATTCAAAATTCGAAATAAGTAATACATAACATACCAAAACCAAAAATCTGTTTTATGACCCGCACTTAAATTTATTCCGTGCTAAAAGGGAATGTTAAGTATTACAGAAATTTAATTATTGAAACGAGGCACTCCATCGCCCTTCTCAGTGGTGACAACGCACTCTGCATTTTGATTCTTAATCAAGAATAGATATAGATGTCTAAAGGCCATAATATTGTTGCGCGGCTAAGTTGACATCTGGCAATAGCGCCATCTAGTGTCGGGTAACAGAGCGAAGAGAGAGCTTTCCAGAAAATGACATCACTAATCTTTCAACTGACAGCGCCATCTAGTATCGAATTGAAGAACTAAACTTTCTGGAAGCCCCAAACTCGAACTTTCTGAATTTACTCGAATTTTCTGGAATATTCTGGACGTTTTCGTGGAAGAGCCCTATATAAAGACGCTGCAATACGCGATCGGGGAAGTATTGAATTTGGCGAGACAAGCGAAGCTTCGGAGCGGAATAAAGTGAATCAGTGTGATTAATTATTAGTGTTTTAAGTTTTAATTGGTGTAAAGAAAATTAAAGTGTTAATTTAGGTAATTCTATCGGCAATTTTTATTGTCACGAACCTCAAGCTCGTAACAATTGGTGTCAGAAGTGGGATTAAATCATGCCGATTTTACCTAAGGAGGAAATGGAGGGTGTCCGTACCCGAAGTCAACGCCAGCAGGAGACGGACCAAAGAAGATTTGGTGGTGCAACGCCGCAGACGTCGGAGGGCCAGCCGCCGGCTGCATGCCCGTCAGTAGCTCCTACATCTGCAGCTCCTGACTTAGGTGCTCTGATGGTGATGCTGCAGGAGCAGGCTCGCCGACAGGAGGAGCAGGCTCGCCGACAGGAGGAGAGGGTGGAGGGTCGCCGACAGGATGATGACGACGATGATGATGACGACGATGATGATGACGACGATGATGATGACGATGATAATGATGACGACGATGATTATGACGATGACGATGACGATGACAATGACGATGATGAGTACGATGGCGGTGACGATGATGTTGATGACGATGATGATACGATGATGACGACGATGATGATGACGATAATGATGACGATGTGATGACGATTATGATCACGATGATGATGACGATGATGATGACGATGACTAAGGTGATGATGATGATGACGACGATGACGATGACGATGATGAGTACGATGACGGTGACGATGATGATGATGACGACGATGATTATGACGATGTCGATGACGATGACATTGACGATGATGAGTACGATGACGATGATGATGACGACGATGATGATGACGACGATGATGATGACGATGTCGATGATGATGACGATGACGATGTCAAAGACGATGACGATGACGATGACGATGTCAATGACGATGACGATGACGATGCCGATGATGAGTACGACGACGGTGACGATTATGATGATGATGACGATTATTATGCCAATTACGATAACGACGATGATGACGATACTGATGACGATGATGACGATGACGATGATGATGATTACTGTTCGCGCCCGATAGTGGATTGTCTTTTCTCGAGAGCGGTGGAGAGAGGTTGGCGGGGCGAGGGGACTTAGCGGCTGGCTGCATCGTGCACGCAGTCAGTCGCGCCCCTGTTTGTATCGAGCCGAGAAGAAGGAAAGGCGGCGGCGAAGCCGGGCGGTCCGCCTCGAGGCTGCGAGCCTCGTCGCGTGGCGCTCGCGCCGATGTGCGACGTTCCCGGGCAGGACGTTTCTTATTGATAGCGGTCGAGAGAGTAACATAATTGCGCGCCGGAAACTTATGTTAATGGAGCGCGCCATTTTGAATTTATTATTGAATATTAGAATATAACCTAGACCACCTCGAATTTAGTGTCTATTTTAATCGCGTTACATGACAGAGGACGGCTAGGAATTTGTAATGATTAAGGGACCTTTTATGCAGTTAATTGAATCGACGCGGTGTTATACATTGAACTTTGACCCACTGTGCTTGAGTTGTACCGCCTGTCCCTAATTAACGTCGATGTTCTTGATTGTTTGAACTTAAAGACAATTAATTGGACAATAAATAATAAGTGATAAACGAACACAGTTTCTTAGTAGCTGAGGTGTTCTGTGGCTGCCTGCCTCTTAGATGGATCCCATATTTTGTAGTGTATGTGCCTCCACCCTACTAGCATATGTTAATAAATATACTTACTCTTAGGTTTAAGTGACAGTATAATTAAAGTCTTGAGTAGAGAAACACGTCTTCCTTTCATTTACCAACCGTTCAACATTACATGGCGACCCTGCCAGGCGGTGCGCGGCGACAAGGCACGCGCACCGCCGCGGCCTGCACAAATAGTTAAAGAAACATCATCATCATTCTCTAAACCATTTCCCATTATCTGGGGTCGGCGCAGTAAATCTTCTTGTTCCATTCCTCTCTATCAGCCGTCATTTCCATACTTACTCCTTTAATTCTCATATCACTCTTCACACAATCGATCCATCTTTTATTCGGCCTTCCTCTGCCCGTGTGTCCCTCCACATTCATATTCAACACTCGTTTTGTGACATGACTTTCATCCCTCCGCATCACATGCCCAAACCATGCCAATCTGCTTCCTCTCACCTTTTCTACCACTGGCGCTACTTTCAGGCTTCCTCTTATATACTCATTCCTTATCTTATCCATCCTTGTCACACCACACATCCATCGTAACATTCTCATTTCATTCGCATGTAGTCTATTTTCATCCTTCTTCTTGACGGCCCAGCATTCACTTCCATACATGACGACAGGTCGGATGATCGATTTGTAAATTTTCCCCTTCAGCCTTATTGGCATTCGGGGATCGCACGTTGTGGCTGTGACCTGTCGCCATTTCACCCACCCTGCGTTAATCCTATGCTGCACAGCTCTATCTATTCCGCCGTCGCCTTGAATGAGGGAACCGAGGTACTTGAATTCTGAGCAGGTAGGCAGTATAGCGCCATCCAACGACATGGGTACAGGACTGGAAAGACCGCCGAAATCACAGCACAGATATTCGGTTTTGGATCTGCTGATCTTCAAGCCAACACTTTCCAGCCTCTGTTGCCACCCCGTCAGTCTGCTCTGTACCTCGATGCTTTCTTCCCCGACAAGCACGATGTCATCGGCAAAGAGCATGCACCAGGGTGCCTCATCCTGCAGGTCCGACGTCAAAGCGTCCATAATCAGTAGGAAGAGGTAAGGGCTCAATGCCGACCCTTGGTGCAGCCCTACCGCCACATCGATACTGCCCGTAGTTCCCGCGGCAGATCGTACACATGTACGGGATGCTCTGTACATAGCACGGACTAACCTCACATACTTCCCAGGCATACCTTTCATCTTTAACGCCCACCACAAAACCTCACGGGGAACCCGATCGTACGCCTTTTCAAGGTCGACAAAAACCATGTGCAGACTTTTATGCACGCGCTTGTACTTTTCGCACAATTGGCGTAATGCGAAAATGGCATCTGTCGTACCTCGACCGGGCATGAATCCGAACTGGTTTTGTGTTATCTCACACTCTTCTCTCATTCTTTTCTCTATTATTCTTTCCCAGACTTTCATCGTATGTGACATGAGTTTTATTCCCCGGTAACTGCTGCAGTTTTGAACGTCTCCTTTGTTTTTAAAAATGGGGACCAGTATACTACTGCACCATTCCTCAGGTATTTGTTCTTCCTGCAACAATTTACCGAAAAATAAACTCAACCACTTCCATCCATCCGCACTCAGCAACTTCCACACTTCTACTGGTATTCCATCTGGGCCGACCGCCTTCCCATTCTTCATATTCCTAACAGCCATTTTTACTTCTTCCACACTAATTTCACTCACTAAGCCCATATTCACTGGTGGGTTTTCAAGCATACCATTCCATTCATTCTCCTCATTCATCAATTTCTCAAAATACTCCTTCCATCGCTTCTTTATACTTTCATCGTCAGTCAAAATCCTTCCAGAATCATCTTTTATACATTTTACATGTGAAACATCTCTTCCATTCCTTTCTCTCGCTTTTGCAATTTGAAAAAGTCGTTTTTGACCTTCGGGGCTTTCAAGGGACCGATATAATTTATCTTGCACCTCTGCCCTACAAATAGCAACTTCCTTCTTTGCTCTCTTCTTACATTCTTTATACGCCCCTCTCTTACTTTCTTTTATGGAATCATTCTGGTCTTCTACGCTCTGCCATTCTTTAAAGGCATTTTTCTTTTCTCTCAAAACTTCTCTAATACTTTCACTCCACCACCACCCATCCTTATCTATCATACGCTTCCCTTTTGTTTCTCCTAACACCTTCCTTGCCACACTTCGGATACAATCAGCCATTTCCTTCCAGCACTCATTCACACTCATTCCTTCCATATCACCCATCTCTATCATCTTGTTTACAACTAGCTCTCTAAATTCACTTGCATACTCCTCCTTATGCAACAAATGCCACTTTATTTTGGGTGGGGGACGATTCTTATGTTTGTCGAGGCGAAAAGTTAAGCAGATGTCAGCCAGCAGAATTCGGTGCTGGGATACTAAGTCTTCACCTGGAAGCACTTTGCAGTTTTTTACACTCTTGATTTGGTTCCGTCTTATCAGAAGATAGTCGATCTGTGTCGCGTGGTGGCCACTTTTATAAGTAACAAGATGCTGATCTCGTTTTTGGAACCACGTGTTTACTACAGCCAGGTCGAAAGCACATGCTGCTTGCAGAAGAACTTCCCCCTCACGGTTCCGCACTCCGTACCCCCATCCACCGTGTACTCTTTCATACCCGTCATTCACTCTCCCTACATGTCCATTAAAATCTCCTCCCATATAAACATCCTCACTCTCAGGTATTCCCATCATCATACAATCAAATTCCTCCCAAAACTTCTCTTTCACACTCTCTTCACAGCCTGTTTGCGGAGCATACACACTTACAACATTCACTACTTTGTTTTCAATCATTAATTTAATAACTATCATTCTGTCATTTACTCTTTTCACATCTGTCACTCGTTCTTTCATTCCACTATCTAACACAACTCCTACTCCATTTCGCTTCCCATCACTTCCACAATAATAAAACTTGTATCCTTCCCCAATCTCTCTTGCTTTATTGCCCTTCCATTTTGTTTCCTGCAAACAGGCAACATTCACTTTTCGTCGTTTCAAAACATCTGCTAACTCTCTTCCTCTTCCAGTCATCGTACCTACATTCCAGCTTGCAAACCTCACTCTGACATTCTTCTCTCTCCGGGCTCGCCTCTTACGTCGCACCCGCTCCGTAAGGTGCGACAACCCTTGCCCACTTCCCACAGGAGCCGGGTGCTGCCCCTGCGCGTCGCCTGCGGGGTACGCCCTAGCCCTGTCATATATCCCACAACTCGTAATATTCATAGGTTTACTGCATGGGATTTGGCAAAAGTTTTACAGTCGGCCGCCTGCCTGACACCAACCCTCTTTGGGTATGCTATTGTTGGTAGAGGAAGCTACCATTTTGGGAAAAGGAAAAAGAAGGTTGGGGGTAGGAGCGCAGGTGTAAGGATACTGTTATCTCGGCAGGAAAGGTATGAGAATAACAGTAGCTCGGGGAGCCGGGATCGCGTACCCGTATTCCATAACAGAATCACCGGAAAGGTAGACCAGCATGAAAACCCCCTGACTATAAATAGTTAAAGAAACATGGAAAAATAAATATAAAACTTAAGGAACAATTTTCAACTATTGAATTGACACTACCGGATGTGACAAGTAAGCCGAAACGGAGACATAAGAAGAGGCGACAAGGTTATTATTTCTTTAAGGAGATATGCTAATAAAACCTATTAGAAAAAGAAGAAAAATGTTACGAAAAAAAACGGGAACGATCAACTTCAGAAACAAATATTATGACAGCTTCAAATATTACATGAAGATTAAACGAATTAGATGGTGAGACCACAAATTTAAGATAGAAGAAACTTCCTGCAAGCCTTAACCGATAAGAAGATAGAAAAATTGAGCCGAAAAGAACAAATTATGAGGTAACTTCGCACCTATGTGATTTTAATTCTATTTCAAACTTTATTTAACAATTTAAGATTGTTTTTTTTTTGCTATTATGTTTTTAAAGTTAGATATTAAATATTCTGTATTTTACATATAATTAAGTTGAAATTAGTTATCAGATTATTCACAATATACTTTATTATCAAATAATTTATTAGCTACAAAAAAAAAAAACAAAAACAATTATAATACAGTATTAAAAATTAAGTTGAATTTTAAGCACTTATGTGGCACTTCTATTAAGGCGCCAGACCAGACTTTATATTCTCATTTATGAAGTTATAGTTTTGTATTATTTTTTTACTGTGTCCTGCCAAACAATTAATGAAATAATAAAATAATAGATTCCAATTTTACGCACTTGATTTAAAATAACACTGTGATACATTTCGTTGATTTTTTTTTCTCGAATCCAAATTTTAAAGGGTTAGAAACATTTCACTATCATTATAAGTTTTAATTTTTTTTAAGGCATTAAATCTTAAATTTATATAATAACTTATGTAAAATATAAAAAACTTCCTTTTAAATGTTTGAA